GACGCCCGCCGACAACAACAATAATTATAGAGAAGAAAAAGAGGAGCCACACCTAGGCAGCAGTTGTCTCTGCTACTGCTCCAGATTAGGACAACAGAAGAGAGGAGGAAGGAACAATGCTCTGTCTCCTGCGGTTCCAGAGTCTGTGTGGCCCCACTACCCAGACCTGTGCCTCTCTCCCCTACCTTCCCCTCCCAGGGATCCGGGGTCTTTGAGATCCCTCCCTTCCCTCGTTATCAAAACCTAATCTTGGCCTGTTTTCCGGTGTTTAAAATGAAGGAAATGGACTCAGTGGCTTGCAAGCTCTATAATTATGATTTTTTGAACATTTTAAAAGCATAGTCATGCTCTTTTAAATTTCAATGCACATATTTCAGAGAGCACCAATTTAAGCAAACACAAACTAAAGGACATCACAATATACTATTTTCTTGTTCAATACCCTATATTTTAGTAAATACATTTACGTCACTGTCATTGAAGAACATTCAATGAGTGCCCACCAGATGCACCATATAACAGTTGAAAAATCAGCAATTGTTGAGATGTTGATATGTTTAAATTTGGCTCATATTACATGAAGCAAATGAGAGTGCATAACTTAGATTAGGAATTACATTCATGCTACATGGCTGTTGTTTCTTCTCCCTCTCCTTTTTTTCTTTTTCTTTCAAGCCACCAGATGGTGTGAATCAAATTATTCGGAAATGCAGAGAGCTGGGTTTCTGCAGATGGGCGCCCCAGTCCGTGCAGCCTTTTGCTCCTATTGCTGCCTCTCACGGTGGTGTAATCTGTCCCCACCCCCACTCCATGCTGCTCAGGAGCAAGGGTGGATCCAATAACGTTTCTAAGTGCATTTTGAGAATTCTTGGAATAAAACTTTTTTTTCAAACGTTTTTTCATTTATTTTCTTAAGATCTTAGAAATGTGTTTTCTCTTTATATTACAAATGGACTGGACCAGTAGGAAACAGTAAAATATAAGTGTGATAAAAATTCAAACTTGAAGGGTTAGGCCATGATGGATAATCGAAATTTATGGGGGCATTTTCTACCCACTAACATATTTCATCTTTACTACAGTGTCTCCATTGCACTGAGGAAGAAGCTGAAACACAAAAAGGAGAAAGAGTGACTTGCCTAAGGCCACTCAACTGTGGGAGAGAGCTAGGATTTCAACCCAGGCAGTTTGGGCTATGGAGATCAACTGTGTTTGAACTGCTCCCTCCTACTGATGTGTGGCCAATTAATATCTCTCCCCCTAAGTGTCTCCATTAAAAAACAGGAGTAAGCACATCATCTTCCATGTAGGATTGTTGTGAGGTGATAAGAAGATGCAAAGAAGGCATTTAACTCTCCACCAGGCACGCAGTGAGTTCTTGTAATGCATTTGCCACCATTAAATTGCAAGGGACTCTATCAAGGGAAATGCATACAGCCTCTCAATATCTCTCTATTAACCCTGACTTGGAAACTTCACCCTTGAAGAGTTCAGGATGCTGTTCTTCCCTCACCCAACGAGACTTAGATAGATAGATAGATAGATAGATAGATAGATAGATAGATAATTACATTTATATCTATCTTAGTTTGGGTTCCTCCAGAACCAAACTCCAAACAAAAATCTGCTCAGGCTGTTTGTGATCCCAGAAAACTCCAAAAGGAAAGAGAAATAAAGCATAGAAGAAAGGTAGTCAATCAAGGGGCATTATGAGCAAAACAGTTACTGCTGAGGGCAACTAGAGTGCAGTCCTGCTGGGGAAGTCTGGAGAACTGGAGAACTCCTTGGAAAGTTCTCCACCCAAGGGACCTGAAAACTAGGGTATTTATCCAACAACTTTCCACCTGTCTTTGGTTGTGGGCTACTTCCAAAAGCTTGAACTTTCAGGCAACTGTAGCTTACTGAAAATGCTCTCAGGACTAGAACAGAAAGTCTGAAGACCCACGTATTCACAGAAAGAAGCCTTTAGTGTGCTGAGATGAGAAGACATTAGTCAGGGAACTTAAAGAATCTGATTAAATATGCCAAATATGTCAGGAAGGAGATGAACATGGGACTGAGACAAGTCATGAGGAAGGGTGGAGGGGAGCCAGAGACTGGGGGAGATGGGTGTGTTCACTATGAACCCTATTGCATTTCAAGAATGTTGTGATGTGCATGTGTCACCCATTCTCTGGGTGGACAAAAGGATATGTAGAAATTAACTTAAATGGATCCCATGCAGAGATGTACAGGAGGCCAACATGCACTTCTCTAGAGTGCCTGAGCATGATGGCCGCATGGGGCTGGCTAATTCTGCCGCATGCACTGTAGCTTGTTGAGCTGCAGCCTTGGCCTCTACTCACTAAACATCAGTAGCAATCCCTCCCCAAGATGTGATCATCAAACAGTCTCCAAACACTGACAGCTCCCCACCTCCCCATTGTGAATCTGTGCTCTAGGGAATCTGGTGAGGTTGGATTGTATCTCTCCTACAAGCTGAGCCACAGAGGATCTACCAGGGCACATCCTCAGCCCTACATATCTGTGTGCAAAGAAAGGGGCAAATCCTCCAGGCCACTCCATCAGAGGAGTGGACAGACCTGTCCATAGTTCTCTTCCCTGCCCTTCCCTCCACGCACACGTCCTCACCTCCCACACACACACGTGCCATGGAGCCACACTGCACACCTGGAGTCAGGAGATCTTGCTAACAGATGCCATGTAGGTATTTCAAGATGCTGTCAATCAATCCAAACTCAGCAACTACAAAAGTAAAAAGAACTTTACATAGGGTCTTTGGGATTGCAATTTGGGAGACTAATGGAAGATAAAAAATATGTAAGTAGGATGGAAATGTCCACAAAACAAGATCCAATAATTTCTTGGTGTGTGTCTTAAAACTACACACAATGGAATTGTTCAGTGGTTCTGAATGTTCTAGAAGCCTGTGGTTGGTTAAAGGGTGGAGGTGAACAAAGTTCATTCCAGGCAGCAGCTGGCATTTCACATAAATGGCCTCCCAACTCCATATCAAAAGGTTTTTGGCTGTAATTTTCATCTTAATTTTCCTTATATTTTCACCAAACTGTGACGTGTTGTATGAGGTCAAAGCCAGCCATTCCCCTGCTACCTAGAAGCATTTTTGGAAGCTATGTTTCCGATCTTGGAAACAGCCAGATCAAATGTGGCCCCTGCCTAGAGCAGCTCAAAGCTTTGGGGAGAACCCACGTGGGAACTTTGAGACTCCTTAGGAAAGGACAGATAGGCACTGAGCGGCTAAGCATGTGTCCCTCTTTCTTCCTTCCCTTTCTTCGCTCCCTTCTCCATCCTAGCTGCCCTCAGAAGCATTTCTCACTCTCCAAAATTACCTCGTCCACCTTATTTACTTACTTGTTACCTCTCTGTCTACCTCTACTAGAAGTAGGCGCTGATGAAAATGGGGATGGTTTCAGTCCTTTTCTCACTGTTTCTCCAGCATCAGGATCAGGGCCTGGCATTAAAGAAGTAGTCAATGCCTATTAATTTAGTGACTGAGTGATTGGATGAATGAATATTTCAGAGTGATAGAGAAGGAAAAGAGGAAACATAAATGATGCTAAGAGAGAAAGAAAAGGAACAAGGCAGAAAACAGCATGTGAGATGGCCAGAAGTCATAGCTTCTATGGCTCAGAACTGGAATAAGATGAAATCTCTTCCCCAAAAAGGACCTGGGAAACCTTCTCACTGCTTTTTCTCACCTTTCTGCCACTTGCCTCCCAGAAACTGGAGATGGACCGAAATTTTCAAGATGGAACATCATCAGAGGGTGATGACATCTCTGAAACAAACTGGATTTGTTTTTAGATGGGTTCCACTGGCTTTGCAACCCCTTACCAGGTTTCTGGGCCATTCAGTATTTTTCCAAACAAGCAATGGATGAAAAATGAGCCCATGTCTCATCACAGTGAAGGCCACCTTTCCCTGAAACTGTGTAGGACAGTTGCAATTGTTTGGATTATCATTGAGCAATACTCTCTCCCTCTAACTGTGGGCTAAGGTTGCATAAAGGTCATACTGAGCTTCATACCTCTTTTGGCCAATGGAATCCTACCAGACACAATATGGATAAAGACTTGAAATTCACTAGTCCTTTGACTTGGTTCTTCCATACTGGTGTTTCCCCAAGGGAAGAGCATGCTGTGTTTGACCACAGCCCTTTTAGTATGAAGATACATGGAGTTTTCAGCTGGAATCTTATTGCACAGGACCCACAACCTGAAGCAGAATCACCCAGTTGGGCCCAGCTTAGAGCATCCAGCCAGAATTATCTGCAGACTCCTAAAATGAGAATACATATTAGTTGTAAGCCACTAGGCTTTGGAATGGATTGCCAAGCAGCATTACATGGCAATCAATAATTAATTCAGTAGTCCTTGATAATGCCCACATCTGATCCAGCCATGAGCTTTGGTAATGGCTATTTCCCTACTAGGTACATGGATATGGGCATGTTAACTTTTGAGCCCCAATGACCCCATCCATAAAAGAGAAGTAACAATAACATTACTCTCAGCATTACTTGCTGTAATGACTAAATGGGATAATCTATATAAAGTGCTTAATATCACATTGGCCAAAAGTGAACATTCTATAAATCAGAGCTCACAAATGGAAAGTATGTCTTTAAAAAAATTGATGATTGGGCCAGGGATTTAGCTCAGTGGTTCTGCCGCCTGCCTTGCAAGTGCAAGGTCCTGAGTCTGATCCCTGGTACCAAAAAAAAAAAAAAAAATTAATGATCTCTGTTGGTTTCAGCCAAACATTTCAACCCAAACATTTCATGCAAAATAAACAGATAAATAAATAAATAATAAATTTTCTCTTGGAAAATCAAACTTTCAAGGTGGCACAGGACCAGCATTTCTGCTTGACAATGCCTAGAGCTAGGGGGCAGTATATCATTGTGTATGATAAAAACCTGACCTCGTGTTAAGCAAGTAAGGAGTTAAACTTTTTTCCTGCAGCCAAATATCCAGGGATTGGATGTCCAGGGCAGGCTCTGAGGCTGAGCAACGCCATCAGCCCCCAGGTCCCCTGGCTGGCGACTCTGTTATGTGTGCTGTTTGTTCCTCATGATCTCAAGATGGCTGCTGCTAATCCAGCTGTGATATCTGTGCTTCAAGAAGAAAAGAGGGGTAAGGATGATATAGAGGCAGAATCTCTTATAGAAGGCTCTGCTCTTGTATATAGAAAAGAAAGGCTTTCTGGGGACTTCTGCTCGCATCTTAAGGTCAGAGTGAAATGTAGTGGTCCTCTCTCTTGCTGCAAGTTGATTGATTGCCTGTACAGTGAAGAAGCAAGTTGGGAAGGTGTTGAATTACTTAAGCTAGCACATCTCAGTTTACATACTCTCCTGGGTTAAGCTGGCCATTTGCCTTCTCTCCACAGGCTCTGCTGGCACCCATTGCCACAGAATGTACCTGTTTATTCTCGGGCACAGAGAACTGAGGCATAGTTTTGGAGCATGCTCTTGATTGTCCCCTTCTGAGCTCACAATAGGATTGAACCCCTGAGACCCCACACTTGAGCTATTCCGCCCATTCTTGTCATTGCCCTCTGATCTCATTTAGGGCTAGGAAATCTACAGTATGCTAAAGAAGCAATGGAAAGGTTCTGGTCTACCTCTTAAAAGTCACTTTGCTATTTTAGCCATTTCTTACCATAGCCTTGGCTAAAACTGAGAAAACATCCTTTTCCTTCCACTCCATTTGTCCTATTTTTCCTTTTGAGAGACATCGATAGTTTCATACCATTTTTCAAGGCTGGCTATGGAGTTCCAGGAGGTGACCTCTATTTACTACAATAAAATTAGTGATTTATAGAAAGTCAGAATTCCACAATCCCCCAAACACCCCCTTTTATCCCTAACTACTATGTCAGCGTGGCACCCAGCATCCACTATGGTTCAAAGGTCTGAATTGTGTAGGAAAATAAATCATTTTAAAAATCCCAATAGTCGTGTATGGGGCGAGCATTCTTAACTTGAACTGAGTAAGGGGGAGGAGAGGAGAAGCAGCCAACCTTGGCTATGGTATATTACTCAAGTTGATGTGGGGCAGAGAAGATTGGATATTCAATGTCAATGGTAACACAAGAAGGAGTGAAAAATTCCAAGTTCCTCCGGAAAGTAAGAAGGCAAAATTTAGGTCCCATAAGCCCTAGTTTTTTCTCTCCTCCCCTCATTATCATTCTCCCTGTTTTCTTGCCTTTCTCTTTCCTGCTCCTCTTCCCTTCTTGCCTACTGGTCCACTTTGGAGCCCACTGCAGAAGGCCTAGCTAATTGTTCTTAGGCCCCAATTTAGGTCCAGCATAGATATTCAACATGTGCAGAATGCTGGTCCCAAACTTGCTTATTCAAATGCACTTCGTGTTGCACTTTACATAACCATGCTCGAAACTAAATGTCTGGACTGTGCAGAGCTGTGCACAGCCTGTGCAAGCTTGGCCTCCTGTAGGCAAATCTGCACATTCAAGGTGGTCTCTCTGTCTCTTAGTGGCGTGAACTCTCAATGGGCCTGGCTCCTCAGTCCTATCAGCTTACTGCAGCTAAGCATGGTTTTTGCGAGCTCCTACTGCATCTGGGTATAGTGCTCAGTGTTGGGGATACAAAGATCCAGAAGATATGGTCCTGCTCCCAAGAACTCATCACCTAAATGAGGTGACTGACCCTCAGATAAGTCATTGGCTCCTTTAAAAGAGCTGTAAATCCCCCAAGACCAGTTCTTCCCGAACTTGAATATGTGCACAAATCCCCCAGGGTCCTGATGAAAATGCCAACTTTAACTCAGTAGGTGTGGGTTGGCTCTGAGATCCTACATATCTAACAAGCTCCCTGGTGAGGCTGTGCCCCTAGCCCAGGACCACACCTTGAGTAGCACTGTCCTAGAGGTGAGGGTCAGCTAGGAAGAAAAGCCCTACAAGGCTAAGAAAAGCCACAGGGAGCAATTAGAGATGGCTTTCTCCATAAGGCAGAAGCATATGCCTGCTACTTGGACTAAGTCATATAAGCAGTCCTTTCTAGGCTTTACCCATGGCAGTAAAGCACCTGTCATTGTGTTGCACAAAGCAAAGGAGCATTTTTCAGCTGTGGGCTGAGTGACATGGCCATTTCAGAAGGTGAATGTTTGGAAAGGACTCAGTGAAACACTTCTTAGGCTTGGAGGCAGGAGAGCTCTCACACTCCTGCTCTTCCTCAGATATCTTTCATTTTGCTTTTCTGTTTTTGTTGGAAAGGGGAGCTTATCAATCCACTGCAAATCCCACAGCTCTCCATGGGGGCCCTTTTCTCCCTGCCCCTAGCCTTAAAGCTTACTGTCCTAATCAGAATTCTTAAAGTAGTCCATACAGTAGGTGTTTAATGAATGCTTTAATAATCTTGGATAGAAAACATATAGTTTATTCTTTTTACTTTTTAAACCTATGACCATGCTGTGTGCCAATTTTGTATTTCTAATAATCTTTTTTTTTTTTTTCTGTACTGGGTATTGAACCCAGGGCCTCATGCATTCTAAGCAAGCACTTTACCACTGAGCCAGGTCCCCAGCCAATTTAATTTGTTTTCTAATTTTGTATTTTAAAATCTCTATTTATAAAACTTTTCCCTCTCCTTCCTTCCTTTCTTAATTTCTTTCTTTCCTTCTTTTTTTTTTTTTTTTTCCAGTACTGGGGATAAACCCAGGGTTTTGTGCATGCTATGCAAGCACTCTACCATTGAGCTATACCCTCCGACCCACCCCTCTTTCTTATAAAGGATCATGCTAGGGACTCACTATTTGGAAAATCTTTGGGTGGTCAAATGAATTCTCAGACTTTAAAACTCCAAATATGTGCTATTGCATGAGTTATCTCCTGTCACTGATAATACTGTGTAACAAATAAGGCTGTTATGGAGTAGCTTGCTTCTCAAAGTGGCTCACTAACTAAATAGTACTGTGTTCTGGATTACTTGCCTTTCCATCTGGAGTTAAGATTCCAGGTTCTTCTCATCTTGAACAAAGAATTGAACAAAATGAGCAAAAAGCAGTGGCTAAGTTTATTCAGAAAAGCAAAACTAGAGTGGGAGAGAAACTGGCTCTGCAGAGCAAGCTTGGGCTGAGTAAAGAGAAAAAGAGGGTAAAAGCAAAAATAAAAGTACACACTACATCTGGGAAACGCAGTGCGGGCTATCCTGGAAAGTCAGGATAGCAAGCTCTTCGTGGATCAGTTTGTCCTTCATATTGTCCAAATCTCGAGGAAACTCTTGAGAATTTCTACATATGGCTCCTGAGAGGTGGTATAGGGATCCCACGTCACAGGCAGAGTCAGGTCTACACCATCCTATTGAAAACCTGCTTGAGTTCTCAGGAGAAGTCCACATGCAGGGCTTTGGAAACTGCTCTGTGCATGTTTCTAGGATCTTGTAATTAACAGGTCATGCCTACTACTCTAGCCAGCTTTACTACAGGCTAATCTCCTATCTCAAGACTGCATATGCAATATGCTTATTGCTCACCGATCTGCTGGTTGACTTGAAGTTCCACTGATATGGGTGGGGCTCACTCACATATCTGGAGGTCGACTGGTTGTCAGAAGATCTTAGAGGATGGACCTAGTTGGACAACCGGGGTGACTGAGCTCTGTCTTCCAAATAGGATGCCCCTCGTGATGATCTTCTTGTGGCTATGTGGAGGAAGGAGATGCAAGCACAGACATGCAAATGCTTGTTTCAAAGCCTATGCTTGCATTATGTCTGCTCAAATCTCATTTGTCAAAGAAAATCCCCTGGCTGGTCCATAGTCAGATTGGACAGCGCTGCCACCTAGGAAGGCTCTGGATTCAAGGAGAGGAGAACACCTAGGGCTGTTCATGCAGTCTATCAACTGTGATCGTCACATGTAACAGAAGGGCTATACAGTCATAGTTAAGCTGATCCAAGCAACATCTTTGCATCCAGTAAACATCTACCCTTCCCTGCTCCAGGAAAGCCCGAACAGCTGCAGAAAGTCAAGAGAAAACAAAGGCATCTGAGAGGAGGGAGAGCCACAGAGCATTTACTGACAATGCTCTATTCATAATCTACAATAATTCAAACTCAGAAGGATGCATTTACAATCTGCCAGGCTTTAATATCCCCGCCCTCAAGTGGCATGGCCGCAGCAGTAGAAATATCAAGCTTTCTGCCTCTCCAAAAGGCAGGGGCCTGAGCTCACAAGGTAAACAAAGCATAATAAAACAGCAAATGGCAGAGTGCGGAGTCCTTGGGAGGTGTCTAAGCTGGATGCCATAGGGACATAGTTTCATTCTGGTCTCATTTAACATCTTCATTAATGATCTGGAAGAGGGCATAAACAGCACATTAATTATAATCACAAGTGAAGCTAAATTGAGATTTGTTGCCTGATCCAAAAGCAGGGACTTTGAAAGGACAGGGCAAGAGAGCGAGTCGAGTTGGAAAAGGCAAACAGCCCCTAGGAAAAACATCACACCAAATGGCAGGGAGGGAACCGGTTACTGGGAAGCAGAGAGTCAAAAGGCAAAGTAGCTGCCTGAAATCTCTTTGGGAACAATCTAGGGTATTTGCAAATCAACCAAAAGGAGGAGGAAGTTTCTATCTAGAAGATAGCATCAAGAAATCAGATACAGGCAAGCTGCGGCAGGAGAGGAGAGAAAGACAACATAATTTGGAGTACAAGCGGAGGAGGCTTGATATTTCTTCCTTAGTGGCCTCCTTCTGTCACTAGGATATAAACTTGTGAAAGCTGGGATTTGTGTTGATTTGTTTTCTGCTATATCCCCAGCAGCCAGAATTAGGCCCGGTCCATAGAAGTCCCTTAATATTTGTTAAATGAATTCCTGAATGAGTGAATAAATGAAAGAAATGACTGTGGGCTCTAAAGAAGAAATCAGAGGAAGCTCTCTCTCCATAAGGTAGGAACTGGTGTGAAGATGGATTAAAAACAAGGCAAGCAAAGCAACAAAACAAAACTGAGGATGGTAAGGAAACAGATGAAAGTTAATGAAGCTCCTCAGACAGCAGATCCTATTGGTTTAATAGTTTGAAGAGTATTATTAGTAGTTACAGTGCTTACCGCTGCCTGGGACTGATCTGAGGGCATTACATGCATTCCTTCACTTAATCATCACAAGAAAAATACAA